TTCAGATTTGCTTCTCTAAGCACCTGCAGGTGTCGTGAAGCAGCCTTTTGCACGCCCGCCCGCGCCGGGCCCCTTCCGGTCGGTCCCTGCAAAGCGCACCGTGACGGCCAATGGTGTTGTCAGTCCCCTGTCGTGAGAGTTTAGGATGGTTCCAATTTCTTTTCCGAGAATGGTGGGCTTCAGAAGATGGGACTGTCGCAGGACTGTGCGGCCACCCATGACTATTGCTTTAACTCGAATTCCTAGGGGTAGGATGGAGGGTCGCGGGGTGAGCACATGTTGAATATTTATGCACTGAAGTTGGGGTTCAGGGGTTCAGAGAGGGCAGAGGGCATGCCGGTGGAGGGAACACCAGGGGCAAAGGTTTGAGGGTGACAAATTGCATCGAGAATTCCCTAAAGGCCTTTTGGGGGCAATAACAGGAAAGACTTTGCTGCTCGTCCAGAGTTCCAGGGAAGTGGGAAGGCGCGGCCTCGATGTTCCTCGGTGGGACCTCCCTTTCCTTGGGGAAAGGGGTGGCCCTCCCCTCCCTGACCAGCGCCAGCGGGGAGCCGGGGAGGAGCTGGGTTGACATCATGGGCTGCTGTCACTCCTGATACTGACTATGAACCGGCCTCCGGCCTCCAGCGCTCCCGCGTGCTCGCTCCCCGGGCCACCCCGTGCACCCACCACGGACCTTCCTTCCAAGACTCAGCCCCGATGTCTCTTCGTCCCCTCCCCTGGTCTGCGAGGCGGTCGGCGGCGTTGGGGCCTGGGTCTCTCCTGCTGCCTCCCGCCCGTGCCATGCTCCGCCCACAGAGTGCGGCCATTCCAGCTTCGTGCGTGCGCATCTGGCCGGCCTAGGCTCTTGGTCATTCTCTGGGTTTGTCTCTTCTGTCCCCTGCCACCTCCCCCACTCCTTATTCCTCCTGCCTCTGCCCTCTGGGGTAGCCTGCTCCCACCCCGAGGGCAGCGAAGTTTAGGCCCCGGAGTCTTTGGGTGATGGGGGAGCCACATTGGGTCTCTAGGGAACTTTCAGAATAGGTCTTGTTCTTCTGTAATTCAGAACTCTATGGCCTCCCAGTCTCCCACCACCCCAGGGGCCCAGCCCTGCCTCCTCCCCTGCCTGGTCCACCCACTCCTTCCAGGCTGACATACTCCACATGGGGACAGGCCGGTGCCAACCCTGGGAGACGCATTTCTATCCCTGTCAGTGATTTCTGTGGAGACCTCCTCTGGGCATCTCCCAGTCTGTTCCTCTGGGGACCCTTGTTGGGGCTGGGAGGGGGCCTGACTGCCCTGCTGGAGTGTGACCTGCTCTGGGGTGGGGCTCAGGGACTGGGAATGTAGCCTGAAGCTGCCGCCGCCTTACAGGAAAGTGAATTCAGGTGTTGCATTCTGCTCCCTAATGTGGCCGGTTTGTTTTAATAGTAAAATAGTGGTTTTGTTATTTACCATTAAGTAAATTTAGGTACTTCAGGTCAGGTTACGGCACCACCGTGAAATCTTACGGGGCCCTGTGCACGCCGACCCAGCCCTCAGGGGGCAGTGCGGCAGTCTGAGAGGGGTGACAGCCCCCGCCTCATCACGTGACTTCAGAGGCCACCATCTGCGCCATGTTCCATGTAAACAGAGTCCCCTGGTGTCATGCAATCAATCCCGTAGCCCCAGTGGAAAGGCCGCTAGTGAGGGGTCAGTAAACCTGGATCCTGTGTGACATTGCCACGCGTAGGTGGTATGCTGAGGGTCACTGCTTCCCCTCCGGGCCTCGGAGCCCTGATGTGACAAAGCGAAGCCGCGTCCTTGTCAGGGGGCTGGACACCGCCTTCCAGCTCACACCCTGCCACTCAGAGGGTAGGGATTTCACACAGGTAGGAAGTGACATGAGAAGCAGAGAATGGGGTGATCAAACTCTCTCCAATTACAGACGCAGCTTGGAGGCACCCCACTGCACCTCCTGAGTGGGGGCCCCCAATCCCAGTGTGCATCCCTAAAGGGACAGAACTTCGACAGGGGGCTCTGCTCCCACTGGCCTGAAAATCGCCGCTGGCTTATGGGCTGGAGCCTGTCTGGTCGCCTTCCCCAGGGGCCACTGCTCTGCGTGAGGAGCCCATTGTTCCTGTGGCCAGCCTGGGGTTCCAGCAGCCCGTGGGGCGCAGGGGGTGCGGGCTGGGGATGGGGCATTGCCTCCCGCTCAGGGCAGTGGAACTGGGGGTACTCTGAGGAGCCCCCAATCTCAGTGACTGCTTCCTGTGGAGAGGGGGAGGTGGGGGGCCGAGCCAGGCCCCTCCATGCGAGGCTGACTCCTCCCCGGGGCGGGGGGGAAGCAGATTTCACGGAGGTCCCCCCAACATACATGCCCACTGGCCCCCTTTCTCTGCAATGTGCAAATGGGGTTCCGAGCCCCCACTGCTGTGAGGCTGCAGTGGCCCCCATGCCCACACCACGTGGGTGCTCAGTGAGGGCCGCAAGCAAAATCCTGATCTCCCTGAACCTCAGCAGAGAAAGACCCATTGTCCCTCCCAGGACCTCGCCCTCCGGCAGAAGTGGCTGAAATCCTGGTGTGGTTTTGTTTGGCAAACAAGGAACATGCAAAGCAGCTCCATGCATGTGTGTGCGTGCATGTGTGCGTGTGCGTGCGTGCGCGTGTGTGTGTCCTCAGCACCCACCCTCACACTTCCCCAGACCGAGGACGTGCATGCATGTGTGCGTGTGCGTGTGCGTGCGTGCGCGTGTGTGTGTCCCCAGCACCCACCCTCACACTTCCCCAGACCTACGGGGTGCGTGTCTGGCTGCGTGGCTTTGGGCAAGACCCTTCCCCTCTCTGGGCTTCAGTGTCTCCGCGGACAGGTGGGAGGGGTAGGTGGTCTCCAAGGTGTTGCTGGGCCAGTGCTGCCGGAGGCCCTCTTCCCCTAGGGCCCTGCAGGACATGAGCTGGGAGGTGGCTGATGCCCGACCACCTTCCTATGCAAATCTCGAACCCCCACCCCAGCCTCTGCACCCCAAACAGGTTTGTTCAGGGGAATTCTGGCTAAGGCAAACAGGAAGAGCCTCAGAATGAGACATGCCACCAGGGCCCTGCCCGGCCAAGCCTCGAGCCAGGGAGTCCTTGCCCCCAAGGGGCCCTGGAACCCCACAGTCACATAGGAGGCGAGGATTGGAGGAGGCTTTTGCAGGCATCACCGGGAGGAAGTGAGTGGAGACGTGAAAAGACCCTCATCCCAGCTCCGTGCTGGCCTGCGTGGGACCTCAGGTAAGCTGGCCGAACCTCGGTCGCCCCTGGTATAAAATGAGATCACGAATGACACCGTCTTGCATGGGTTAGAGACAACTGTGGAAACCCCACCCCCACCCCGGTACCTGGAAGTGACTCATTCGGAGCCGTCCATGGCAGTGGGCCAGGTCCGGGCTAGGTGCTGAGGCCTATGGCCCCGAGAGGATTCCTTCTAGCGGATGGAAAGCAACCCACAGACGACCGTCAGTCCGGGTCCAGTGGGTCCTGAGCCGTAAGCGAGGAGCCCAGGGAGCAGTGTTCAGAGCAGGGAGGACTTCTGGGTGGAATGACCAAGGGAGGCTGCGTGGAGGAGGTGGCATTTGAGTGGGCCTTGTACTTACCACGTGCCGGGCCCCGCTCACTGCTGTTCATCACACGTGGTCTCAGGGAGTCCTCCCAACAGCCCACGGGAAGGGACCGTCCTGTTGACAGAGCAGGGAGCTCGACCTGAAGTCACACGGCTAGTGAGGGGCGGCATCGGGCTTCGCTCAATCACATCTGCAAAGTCCCGTTTTCCATCTGATGCAACATCCGCAGGGTTGAGGGACCAGGACCCTCTCTGGGGGTCGTTATTCAGCCTGCCACAGCGATTACTTGAGGACCTGCGACGGGCGGTTCCCCCTGGATTAGCCAGGTGGGCCCGACGTGGTCACAAGGAGGAGGGAAGAGGTGACCGCAGAATGACAGGGGGTGATGGAAGCAGGGGCCAGAGTGAGGCCCCAGGCTGAGGAATGGAGGAAGCGGATTCTCCGGAAGCTCGCAACGGAACGCACCCCGCCGACGCTCATGTTTAGCCCGGTTTGGGTTTCCGACCTCCAAACGGTAAGAGGATAAATGTGCGTCGTTCGGAGCCACGCAGCCTGTGGCGATTTGTTACAGCGGCCGCAGGAAAGTGACGCAGCCCCCGGCCCTGCCCTCCCCCGCGGCCTCCTCGCTGCGACTCCTCAGGCTTCTGTTCCAGCCCTGATCCCTCGGGTCTGGGCACGCGCCTCCCAGCTTCTCTGGGAGTGAACACAGCTTCCTCTGCTTTTCTAAGCTTCCGTCACACACGAGCCTGCACCCAGTAGGCACTTAATAAATCCTGGTCAGATGTAAATAAATCTGTGTCTTTATTTCCATTTACAGCGGTTGAGGGGAACAGACTTTTGAGAGCAATGACTGCTGGTTTCGCCAGCCCCGTGGTCCAGTGGCAGAACTGGAACCTCCTCGCCCACCCCCGAGTGCTGGTCAGAAGTGGGGGGGCAGCCGACATGTCCGGCTGAAGCACAGGGGTGCAAGGCCTTTTACTGGGGTGGGAGGTGGCTCTGATTGTCCATGGCAAGCTGGAAGAGGCCCACTAAAAACCAAGGGGTCCAGGTCCTAGGGTGATGAGCAGCAGGCAGGGGGAGGGCGTCTCTGTGGGTCCCAGCTCTGGTCTATTCTTGGCATCCCTGTCCAGCTCTGGCCTTCTGGGCTCTGCCTCAGGGGAAGGCACCCAAGTATTCACCCCTGTGGACAACTTCAGCTCAGAAAAGACCCAGCCCAGCTCCCACACTGTGCAGCGGGAGAGATGCTGGTCCAGAGAGGGGAAGCGATTTGCCTGAGGTCGCACAGCAATTGCTTAAGTCTCCAAAGAAGCTGGAAGATTCCCGTCCGGTGCCGCCTCCAGGAGACTGGGGACCGAGGGCGTGAGCCCAGCCTCCCTCCGTCGCGGTGCGGTGCGCGGACCTCGGGACAGGCTGGCCAGGAGCCGGGGCCGGGCGCGGCCTCACTTGAGGTCATGCTGGCTCTCGCGGTGCCGGCGCAGGTCCACTTTGCGCTGGAAGCCCTTGGCGCAGAGCTCACAGCTGAAGGGCTTGAAGCCCGTGTGCTTCCGGCTGTGGGTGATGAGGTTGGAGCTCTGGCTGAAGGCCTTCCCGCACACCTGGCACTTGTGCGGCTTCTCACCTGCGGGGGCGGGGTGAGAACCTGGGTCAGGGCCTTCCCGCGGGGCCTGCTGCCCCCGTGCCCTGCATCCGTTCCCCAAAACGTCGTTGTGCTTCATCTCACGGCCAACCCACATTCGCGTTAGAAAATAATTAGAGGAGGAAGACAGAATGAACACAACTCTGACACCCGCCGACGCCGCGCTGGGCTGTAGCCGGGTCGGGGCCGGCGCTGGGGCCTCGTGTTTACCAGCACAGCCCAGCACCTGGCACGGGGTCCAGGGCAAGACAGCCGAGGAGTGACGGATGACTAAAGGCAGAATGAATGAACGCTTGAAAAGTTCACCGGCTGGTCTCACTTCTACCCGTGAGAACAGCAGCGCTGGCTTTGGCTGTGGCCTTCCAGAGGGGGCGGCCCCCCCACAGACACACATCATTGGATCCCACCCCATTCTAAAGCCGGGATCTTTTAACAGGGAAAGGCGGGCGTGCCAGGGGCTCTGCCTGAGAGGGGCTTGGCCTGGGGGCTCGGCCGGGTCCCGGGTGGGGGCGGCCTCACCTGTGTGAATGTAGGTGTGCTTCTTCATGTCCGACTTCTGGTGGAAGCGCTTGCCGCAGAACTGGCAGGGGTAAGGCCGCGTGTCCGAGTGGATGAGCAGGTGGGTGGACAGCGTGGACGAGCGCTTGAAGGCCTTGCCGCACATCCGGCACTCGAAGCTGCGCTCCTGCCGGAGGAAACGAGGCCCCGGGGGCTCAGGCGCAGGCGGGGCCTCGCAGCCCGGGACTGCCAAGCTGGGCGCAGGACTCGACCCGGCCGGAATCCCCTGAGGAACAGGACACTCTGCTGGGGTGGCCTCTAGGACAGGCCTGGAGGAGCAGGATGTGGGCCCCCGTTCCTGCCTCCTAGGAGGGGCTGAGGCCCAAGTGGCCTCCTGTGAGACTTTTCCTTGTAACTCTCACGGTATCCCAAACAAAATAAGTCTCAATACATGTTTGTTGACTGACTGACTAACTGTGGACCAACTGATCTGGGAGATTTTTGAGGTGCCCCTTAACCCGGAGTGGGTTCCTGGAGGCAGGGATGGTCGGGGGCTGAGCAGTGGTTTGGTTAAGAGTCTGAATTACCAGGGCCCGATTCTGGCTTCTGCCTCTTACCAGCCACGTGGCTATAGGCCAGTCACTTCACCTCCCCGAGACTCGGCTTCCGTGTCTGGGCATCGGAAGGCTGAGGGCAGTGACCGCGAAGGGCAGTCGGAAGGATGGTGCTTGTCGCACCTGAGCTTTTCTATTTACCCAGGTGTTAGCGACCCAGCTCCGCTGCGGGTGCTTTCCAGGAATGGAATTCTAAAGAGGGGGTTCCTGCCTCCGGTAGGGCTGAGCGAGACGGGACGCACGTTTAAGTCTGACTCCAAGATTCTAAGTCAAGGAACTCAGAGGGGCGGACACCTGCCCTGCCCGGATGGCGGGACCATTTCCGAGCATTGCAGACATCGTGCTGCCCCGGGAAATCCCACCTGGGCCAGGTGTGCGTGAAGCCTCCTCGGTCCGCCAGGGAGTGAGGCGTTTCTAGAGCGGGAATTGGAGACCCAGACGGGGGAGGCAGATAGTGAGGGACCCCCGATCTGTGTCACCCTCGGGGCCTGGGTGAGAGGGTGACCATAGGCCCCCTGGGCTCCCTGGGAGGAGCGCAGCACAGGAGGGCGAACGGGGGTCCTGTCCTTGGCCAGCTGCCCACCTGGGAGTGGACGTGCGTGTGCTGCTCCAGGCTCACGGCGTGGCCGAAGGTTTTGCCACAGATGTCGCAGGCGAAGGGCCGGGTCCCGCTGTGGGAGCGGCGGACGTGCACCTCGAGGCCGTGTGGGGTGGAGAACACCTGGGGGGCGGGGCAGAGCGTGAGGCCGCTGGGGGCTGCCGAGGGGGCCCGGCCTGTGTCCCAGGCCCCGCCTCCGCCCAGCTCCAGCCACGGATGGGCTCACAGGGGGAGCACTGGCCTGCCAGCTCAGCAGGCGTGAGCTGTGATCCTGGGAAGGGATCTTTCACCCTTCGTGGCCTGGGGTCCGGAAGGTCCCCTGTGGCCCTATCTCAAGGCGAACAGCCTAGCGGTTAAGAACTGGAGTCGGCCCCAGGCCGCTCTGATATCTACGTGCTGTGCGCCCTTGGGCGAGTGACTCGTCTGTCCTGAACCCCAGCCCGCCGTCCCCCTCCCGGGGCTCAGGCTCGTGGCGCGCTTCGCACAGGACTCACTGAGCAGTGAGAACGCACGTCGTGAACCCTCGATGCCACCGAGATGTGCAGCTCAGAGGACACCCCCGCGCCCGCCCGCACAGCCGCTCACCTTGGTGCACTTGACGCAGCGGTAGGCGTCCATGCCCGGGGAATAGCCGAGGCTGAAGTCCAAGGGCGGCTCGGAGCTGGGCACCAGAGGGCTGCCGTACAGGCTGACCGGACGCTCCAGGAAGGCGGACTGCATGGTGGAGGGGGTCTGCCGGTAGCCGTGGCTGTAGGACGAGGCCAGGGCGTCCCAGGAGAAGCTGGGCTTGTAGAACGGGGGCGAGTCGGAGGGCGGCGGGTCCCCATCCTGGGGTCGACACAGCACAGCAGGACCCTCTGTGGGGAGCAGGACACAAGTCTGGGGGTGACTCCTTTAAAAATAGGCCACCCGCTCCCTGCCACGTGCCGAGGATTTCAGTGTTCACGTCCCAGATACTTACAGTGGGGGGTCTGGGTCCTCACCGAGGCACCTCAGCTTTTCCAGGCGCAAAGTGCCCCACCCCGCACAGAGTGCAAACCTCGCCCACGTCATCGGCTCACCCAGCCGCTCCCTGGGACCCTCATGCTGAAGTCCCCATCTGGAAATGAGCTGCTGTCCAGAAGGAGTCCAAGCAGAAGCCTGGGAGCCCAGACTGCACCCACATGACATCGTCGGTCCTTCCTGACTCCCAGGGGCCCCTGCTCCCAGCGGCCCACCCGCCTTGCATGCCCCTCGCACTCGCTGGGAACGAACGGCCGGGGCCTCGGGCACGGTACCTGGTGCCGAAGACATCCTCGTCAAGCTCTGGTCCAGCTCCAGCTCCGGCTCCCGTTTGAGGTCCGTCCAGTCCAGGCACTGGCTCGGGAACAGGGTGCTGAGGATGGGGTCATTGCTCAGGACCTGGTCCCTGGTCACTGCAGGGAGACGAGACCATCAGAGTCACCAGCTGCGGGCCTGGGAAGCCCCGAGGGGGCCGGGGAGGTCTCCCTCCCCGGGACGGGCGGGACCCAGGTACCTGCTTGTGGCTGCCCCTGGCTGCTTTCAGGGGCTCTGCCCAGATGGGGGAGCCGGGTACGGGCCAGGAGGAGACCCCCTTGGAGCGCCCTTGGACCCGTCTCGGTTTTTCCGAGCACCTCACCGTAGCCCTCGATCGGACCCCCACTTCGAACCCACACGTCCTCATCTGAGCTACGGAACTGATGGCATTCTGACGCTCCCAGCCTCAGGGGCCCAGAGAGGTGGACGCTCTCCCTCCAGCAACACGTGCGGAGCCTGCCTGCTCCCACGCCTGGAAGCGGGGCCACTTCCACTGAGCTGCTGCTGCCGTGTCCCCATCATGTGGGGCAGGGAGCCCCAGGAGGCGCAGCAGGGGGCAGATGTGGGGGGGGGCAGCCGGCACCCCCCACTCACCGTGGCTCAGGGCGGGAGGCCAGACGAGTTCATCCTCCCGGAGGCGGGGCTGGTACGTGTGAGCCTTCTTGCTCTTCACGAGGAAGGAGCGTGGCATGGTCGGCGTGCACCCCGCACCTGCAAGGGGGGCCGGTGGGAGCGGTTAGGAGGGGAGAGAGGACAGCGCCCTCCATGTCTTCGAGCCTCGTCTTGAGGTCAGAATCCACTGTCCTGGGTCGGAAGTTCATGTCCATGTGGAACCTCTGAACGTGACCTTATTCAGAGACAGGGTCTTCGAAGGTGTGACCGAGTTGAGACACGGTCACTCTGGGTTAGGGTGGGCCCTCAGTCCAATACGGCCAGCATCCTGATGAGAAGAGGGATTTTCGGGCACAGGGTCCGATGCACAGAGGGTGTCACGTGGGGGTGGGGGCAGCTGCAGGCTGAGGATCGCCGGCGACCAGCAGAAGGTGGAGGAGGGGTGAGGCCGAGGCTCCCCCAGAACCTGCAGGGGGCACTGACTGTGCCGACACCTCCATTCTGGTTTTCTGGACTTCAGAACCCCGAGAGAACACAGTTCTGCTGTTGTAAGCCTCCCAGTTCATGGGACTTTGTTGTGGCAACTGTAAATCCTAACCTCCCTTGCTAAGAAAGCAAGGAGCTTGGGGCTGCTCCTGCGCACACGCCCTGAGCTGCTAGGAGTGGGGAAGGAAGGGGAGGGGGTCTCCACACAGACCCCACGTCTAGGAACCTGCATTTGCATCCTGGTCGGATCGGCCTTCGGGGACCACAGAAATGGATGGTCTCGCCTCAGGCTGCTGGAGCCAGATGCTGAGTTAGAATCCCAGCTCACCTGCTGTGCCGTTTGGGGCAGACGCTTAACCTCTCTGGGCTTATTTCCTTTTCTGTCAAGTGGGGCATCTCAGCTTCTAGTAGTGCTAGTGAGCGAATCATATGTGCTCAGTGCCTGTCACAGCGGGGACCTGGCAGGCGGGCCGCAGCAAGGGAGGAACACCTCAATCGCAAATCCACGTTATCACGCAAGGTCGCTCATGGCCCCAGCTCAGAGCCTTGTCCCCACAGGGAAAGGAGCCTTCTCTCCCTCTCGGTGGGGGTGAGGAGAGGGTTAGACTTGGGCGTGAGGCCCGAGGCCTGAGAGGACCCCCGCTCCACCCCACCAGGAGGCCTGTGGTCTCTGGACATGGAGGAAGAGACTAGTGTCCACCAACCCCAGCAGCTCAGGCAGCGGCCGCCCAGCCCAGCCCATCACTAGACCCCACCGGTCAGGGGCTGCTGGAAGACCTGAGGACCAAATCAGTGGTGACCCGCCCTTTGTCCCAGGCAGGTGTCGGGTGTGGCAGAGCTGGCCCAGCCTGGCCCTGCTGGACTACTGCCTCCCCCACGCCCAGGACTCCCAGACGACAGACATCATCTCCTGGTGGCCCTCTCTCCTCCCCACCCCAAGCGGCCACCGAGCCCAGGCAGAAGCTCGGGGAGACACCCAGCCAGCGCCAGTCCTGATGGCTCTCCTGCCGGTCCCATTCCCCGGCCTCACAGGAGCCCTTCCTGCCTGGGGCCGGCCGCAGACGTGGCTGTGGGGACGATAGGGCCAAGCGCGGGAAAAGGATCTCGGCTGCCCGCGAACCGCGGCGAGGGCCGGGGCGATAAGGCCGCCCTGTGGGAGGGAGATTAGAGGGCGCAGCTCGGAGCAGCACTGGGGGGTCACCCCTTCCCCAAGGGGGTGAAGAAGGACCCCCAACTCTGCCCAGCCTGCCTGCCTCTTGTCCAGGGCCCCGGGGGGCATCAGCAGTCTGGGCTGTGGCCGCTCTGCCTAGGGAGAGGGGGACACGGCCCAGGTCCGGCCCTTCTTGCCCTGGGCCTCAGTGTCCAGATCACCCCTCGACCTCCTGGGACCACTGTGGGGAGAAAGGACCTTAATACAAAGGCGCGACATGCCAGCATGGTTCCCGGGCCGCAGGGACCCCCGAGTGTCAGCCCAGGCTCTGAGGACAGTGACAAGCTCTGGACCAGGAGCAGGGGACATGCTCTAGGCCCTTCCCACCCTGGGCTCGGAGAGGGTGGGACTTGAAGGCCTCTGGGGTCCAGTCCAGCTGTCCGATTTTGACCTCACAAGGCTCGCCTGGCCTGCCGTCCCTCTAGGCCTGGCGGGCAGCTGCGGTGGCCTTATCTTCCAGGGACAGTCTTCCTCCCGCCCACCCCCCACTGCTGGGGCTCCCCACGGCCCCCTTCCTTCCCCCTTCTAGCTCTTGGGGAGGCCGGGCCCTGGGCAGTTCCAGAGGAGACCCACACACAATGCGGGTGGGCTGGGGCGCTGGGTTACCCTCGCCCTTTGCCCTGGGGGGCTCCCGAGGGCCATGGTTTATCTGTCTAGCGAGTGACTTTTCTTTTTACGTAGAATTTCATCAGTAAGTCAACGAGCACCAACGGCGGATATTCAGGCCACAGGGCCAGAAACCCAGGAAATTCTCGCCGCTGCCGTCTGCTCGGTCTCAGCTCCCTCGATCCTAACCGGGGGGGCTGAGTCGCTGTGACCCCATTCTGTAGAGGAGGAGCCCAGGCTGAGAGACTTGCTCACGTTCCCAGGACAGAGCGAGGCGGAGCAGGCCTCGGTCACCCCAGGCCCCCATGCCCTTGACTGCCAGCCCACGAAACGGGCGCTGCCTCAGCTTGGAGAGAACAAAGCTGAGGGGGACGGTGTTTAAAGCTCCCTGGTGTGCGTTACGTCATCGAATGCAACGGCCACCAGGGGAAGGGAGGCAGCGGTCATCCTCTTGGGTCACAAGGGGGAAACCGAGGCCGAGAGAGGACAGCGGCTTGCTAGCCCTGCAGCCAAGCCAGGCTTGCGCCACCGTGCTGCTGGGACTTGACCTCTGACCCGGTGCTCAGCCCATCATGCCCGTGGTCCTGGAACAGGGACGGGGAGGCTGGTTGTCGGGGCTAGAAGGTGGAAAACCCAAAGCCCCCTGATTTTCGCATCTCTTCAGAAGCCAGAAGGCCCGACATTGGTCCCTGAAGCATTTGGGTGAGAGAGCGGACCTCCTCGGGGGGAGTGTTGGCCTCCCTTGGGCTCAGACCCTGAGGGGACCCCAGATGCCAGCTGTCTCGAACTCAAGAGGACGCACAGCCACACTCTCTCAGGTTCCCGGGCTGCACCTAGAGAACTTCCCTCCCGCCCCTGTTCGCTGAGTTAAAAATAAACAACAAAAAACAGGAACCAATCACCTATATGGTAGTTAATTAACAACCACACCGTTTTGATTCACACGAACCTGTTCTGAGAAAGAGCTAAGAGCAGAGATTGTGAAAGCCCAGGATTTCTTCATGAAGCAGAGACCTCGATGGTATCGGGCTCCGGAAGGAGACTCACTGTTAACATCTCTTCGAAAACCCCCAATCCCGATAGAGGGTCCCCTGACGCCGAGCCAGAATCTCAGCTGCAGCTTTTGGAGGGGGGCGACCCTGCACCCCGACTTCCAGGCGGAGCCGGGGCAGCAGACGGGTGATTTCCGACGCTAAGGTGTCCTGGGCCGCCACGGGGCCGAGTCTGATTCTGTGACCCTGAGCTTGACCACATCAGCCACCAACCTGGGGCTCGATTTCTCTCTCTCTCTCTCAAAAGGGACGGTTGGACTGGGAGATTTCTACACTTCCTTTTTGCTCCAAAATCCCACACATGGTTCGTTGACCTTCAGTGCGGGACCGGTCCACCTTGGCTGAGAAACTCATCGCCTGGGTTCCCTTTTCTGGGAGGGTTGGGTAAGACCTGTTGTTTCTAGTTAAGGAGGACCCTCTGGACTTCCTCGATGTCTGAAGACTGACTTAAGAGGAAACGCAAACAGACAAAAACCCTTTCCATGTAGGAGTCGGGGGAAGTGACCCGGGTCCTTTGAGGGGCCGGAGCAGAGAGTGGGCCTTCTCTCTATTTGAAATTCCCATTGTCACAAGCGAGCGGATCGATGGCTGGGTGAACCCCCCCAAAGAATTGAAATCAGGGACTTGAACAGATATTCGTCCAGCGAAATTCACAGCAGCCGAAGGTGGAAGCGACCCAGGTGTCCATCCACGGATGACGGACAAAGAAAATGTGACGCATGCCTCGACGGAACATTCTTCGGCCCTAAAAAGGAAGGACATCCTGACGCACGCGATGAGGACATTACGCAGAGTGAAATAAGCCGGCCGGTAAAGGACAAATACTATGTGACACCACTTATCTGCAGTACCGCCAATAGGCAAATTCTCAGAGACCGAAAAGAGAATGGTGGGTGCCAGGGGCTGGGGGGAGGGGAGGGGGGTTATTGTTTAACGAATACAGAGTTTCGGTTTTGCAAGATGAAAAGAGTTCTGAAAACGGCGGTGACGGTGGCACAGTAACCTGTATGTACTTAACGCCATCTAAAATGGTTAAAATGGTCAATTTCATGTCATGTTTATTTTATCTCAGTAAAAACAAAAATGAGACATTTCCTGAGCATTTCTGAATCAGAGACTAAAGCGCTGGCTCAAACTCCTGGAAACGAATGAGCAAAAACCTCCCTCCAGGCTAAGGAGGAGGGGGGCGCAGTTTTCTGTCCTTTCTGAAAAGGGTCAAGAGGTTGTGTCCCAGTAAAAGCATCGCCTGCGATCAGGCTGTTTTCCCGGGGCGGAGGGGGGTGATCTGGACCCAGAACCTTTGGGGGTCCTCGTGCTCTTCAGTAGGAATCCCCCAAGCCCACCCCACCCTCCTCGAACCCCGAGAAAACGGTCTGCACGGTTTCGAATGACTCCATCAATCAAACGCGACTTTAGTTTTCCGAGGTTCTCCAAGAACTTGCTGCAGGAAACCATCATGCTGATCCCCAGATCTGAGTTGCAAGAGCTCTCACTCATCTCCTTATCCGGAGAGTCCCTTCCGTGCCAGCTCCAAGGACAAGAAGCCCACCACTTCACTGAGATGGACGTCTTCTGTCCCTTGTGCACGAAGCAGGAGCGGGAGCAGGCGCAGCTCAGCCCGCGTCTCCCAGACCCGCGTCCAGACCGTGAGCGAAGCCCCCTCCCCCGCCCCCGAGTCTCATGGAAGCCGCGGGCTTTTCCCCCAGAAAAATGTACGTGCACGAA